ATTAATTTAAATTTAGAAGATATATATTTAAAAATATAAAAATTGACGGTTTGAAACCCCAGTTTGAAGCTCTGGGGCTTCAAACCCATTTTCAGTGAATTTTTGGTGTAAGTTAGAGCTGACAGAGAGAGAAAGTTTGAAGCCCGGTTTGAAGCCCCGGGGCTTCAAACGTATTTCCAGTGGTGTGAGATAGTGAAGTAAGTGAGGTAGGAGAACTTAAATTGCAATATCGGGAAGTAAACTTCCTTACATACAAACCTGGCCACACGAAACATAGACATCAGGCGCCTTTAATTCAGAATTTAGAATCACTCTCGAATGAAAGTAGTTCCCATCCGTTTATTACATGTGGTTCTAGTGTTTTTGATGCCTCTTTCTGTCATTTCGCTGCGAATCCGGCCACCGCGGTGGGAGTGGGATCCCTGCCAGGTGCCGCCGCCGAACCAGAGGGCTTTGCGGGCAGATCAATTGACCGTTCTGATCAACGGTTACTCCGAGCATCGGATTCCGCTACTCCTCTCCACCGCCGCCGTATACTCCTCCGCCATTGCCTCCGTATCCGCCGTAATCATCCTCTGGAGCAATCCCTCCACTTCGCGCCAAACCCTAGACAATCTATCGCAGAACCTCACCTCCGTCTCCACTGGTGGCGTCCCGATCACCGTGATCCGGCAGCCATCGGCGAGCCTCAACCTCCGCTTCTCCCCGCGGGGATCAATTACCACACGCGCCGTCCTCGTCTGCGACGACGACATCCAGCCGGACGCCGAATCCGTGAATTTCGCCTTCAATGTCTGGAGATCCAACCCGGACCGCCTGATCGGGTTCTTCGCTCGGTCACACGACTACGATCTGCCGGAGAGGAAGTGGATCTACACGATGCGCAGCGACAGGTACTCCATGATCCTCACGAAGCTAATGATTCTCAAATCGGAGTACCTCTACAGGTACACCTGCGAAACACCTCCGGAGATGCTCCGATTAGTGGACGGGATGAACAATTGCGAGGACATTCTGATGAATTTCGTTGTTTCAGATTCAATCGGTGCCGGGCCGATTCTGGTCGGAGCTAAAAGAGGGGTGAGGGATACGGGAGATGCGAGAAACGAAGGCGGGGAGAGAGCGGTGGGATTGAGCAGCAGGGGAGGGGAGCATATGAAGAGGAGAGGGGATTGTATCACGGAGTTCCACAGAATTGCAGGGAGAATGCCCCTCCGGTATAACTACGGGAAAGTGGTGGATTCTGCCGGCGAGGAGGGGCTCTGTCGGAAAGGTGACCGGTTCGTGTACTGTGATCAGCAGCCGCCGGATTCATTTGATGCAATTTAATGCAAATACGCAACCCTGAAAATATAGGCAAAGCGCGAAATTTTCTTCCTTTTTTGGTCAAAGTTTCAAAAACTCAATGATTTTTTGCTATTGAAAAAAAAAATAGTTTGAAATATCAAATGCCCATTATTGTTACGATATAAATGTAATATCAACAAATTTATTTTAAAATATAATTTTGAAAATATCAAATGCCCATAAAATATATTTATGTATAAATATAAATATGAATGGTCAAAGGATTACATTCGATACCATAAAAAATTAAAAATGGGAAAAAATATTTCAGACCCTGATGGGAAATAATAAGTGGCTCGATCCACATTTCTTAATTATTTATAAAGAACAATCAAACCAGACATATTTAGTAAAATAGAGGAATAAAAGAATATTCTTCTGTATATGCTTCTGCTACTCATATGAAAGGAGGGCTCTCCTTCATCAAAAGGAGGCCAATTCTCCTACAAGCCAATCTCTCATCACTCTCCCCTGCTACTCTCTCTTAGCTTGTTTATTTTTTTCCTTCAATAAAGCTTCAATCTTCCATTAATAGCTTCTAAGCCCAAATTATGTATCATGTATAATCTCCGATATTAATAAAAATCCTCCGTTGGTAAGGTACCGCCAAAAAAGGCTTGTGGTTTTCTTTCAATTGGGTTTCAACATCAAAATTCTCGTGTTTGTATTTTGGTGAATTTTGTTAGACTAAGTTTATCGTTCTTGCCCAGTTAAGAACGATATTCTGGTCGAGACAATTTACACCATCATTTTGGCACCACCTGTGGAACTGGAGAAAAAGTACGTCATGATTTTTCAATGCCCTCGTGATGTTCGTCAACACAAACCCAAATTGAGGCATGCTTGGGCATATTTGTGACGCAAATAAAAAAAAAGAGGAGAGAACCCCCGATCTAATATACTCCCTCCGTCCACAAGTAAACTTCCCGTTCATTATTCGTAGGGTCAAACTTTATTCACTTTGTTGACCTATTTTCGTCACCTATTTGATAAAATAATATAGTCATGTCACCTCTAGTTTTGTAGATCTTTTTATATAATTTTTTAATATGTAATTTTTATGTTTAAATTTTACATCATTTTTCATATAAAATGATTTAAAAATTACCTTAGTCAAACTTCGTAACGCGCAACGAGAAGTTTATTTGTGGACGGATGGAGTATATAATATAGACGTAGTAGTACACCTACATAGTGTACGAGTATTGCAGCTGGGTTGACGAAGTCTATTGCGAGAGTGAAGCTTGTTGCTGCCGATTGCTCGTTCCCTCTGTTAATTTGATTTGTTTTCTTTGTCTAATAATTTACGTGAGTACATGGACATTTAATGCTAGATTATCTGTATAGATTTGAAATTCACGTTCATAATTTCCTATGATTGATTTATGTGTAAATTTGATGGTTTTTGGAGAATTGGGATTTGCAATGAATTAATCAGATAAACGACATGATTCAGTGTTACTGAATTAGTTGATTGATTATATTATCTTTATGAATATTGCTGAGATGTTTTACTCGTTGAATATGGTCAATTGAGGTCTGGGAACCGGAATTGTGGACTAGTGCAGTCCCACCATTTACTATCGCGGCGATCAGTCGTTGGCTATTGTCGGTCGGTAGCTATATACCGTCGAACGATATCCCTCTACTGTTACCGCTGACACGTACTGTTCAAAATTTTACGCTCCATTTAAATGTCAGGGATGTATTCCAAGACTTTGTGTTGTATGACGGTAAGTGGAAAGGTGTTTACACCTGATACTAAGCCGTTATTTGTATTATATGATGATAATATGAGTATTGTTACCCCTCTTGTTATATTTTAAATGTAATTTGGATATGCCTTGAACTAATATACTAAACTGAAATTGTTGTTGGAATAAACTTGAATATGAAGAGATGATGTAAATAAATGGTTAGGCTACCTAGAGGAACTCTAGGACTACTCTAGTGTAATTGTAAGTGTAAATGTTAATAGGTACAATCAGCTTTGCATATCTAGTATCTGATGGTTGCGGGTTAAAACGTAAGTACAAGATCCACAAACTGTCATTCCAAATGAGACAAGGATACCGTACCACCCACCTAGGGTGAACTCCTTCGTTGGCAAAGTCGTGTTGTGTTGTAATGTGTTAACTAAAGTTGACTTGAGTCATGACCGTAGGTAGTGACTTTAAGTGCTAAGATAAAGTTGTGAACAAGGATGTATCGACCTTAGCCTAGAATAAGTTATGAACAATTAATAAGGATGAACTAGGATAATGATTTGAGACTTATGAGTTCATTTGATGATTGTTATGTGATATTATTAACGTTGTATGAAATTATGAGCCAGTGAGTTCATCTATATGCGCAATAGAACGTTAGATATTTCTCATTTAGTACCAAGGCTGAGCGTGTGGCATTTTTCTCTTGCTACACGTAGATAACAGGAATAACGATTAAGGAAACAATCCTGGAAGGCAGTGAGGGATAAAGAGACGGATGGATGCCGACATAAGAGTTTATTTAATTTATTATTATATTTGGATTTAATATGTTTTTGGGAAAAGAACTCAAAATTGTGTTTGAAGTAAATATTGAAAGCTTCTACATCATTTTGATAATCCCGATGGATATTTAAATAATGGTTTGAATTGAATGTTTTAAAATGTTTTGAATATTTATTTTGTTTGAATTCAATCTAGTGACAACCCGATCTGCTGGTCTGTGTATTTAGGTCACGCGGGTCGGATTGTTACATGGGTTTTTGTGCCGAGCTTCCTTCAGGTGTACCATAATTCTAATGCAAATTCCTCCATGGTCTTTAGATCCATACTCATTTTATAAACCTTAGTATATAAATATCATGAAAGAATTAAACTTTTTGCAAAAAGAAAATATCTTTATAGTGACTCATGAAAAATGTGAGAAAGTCAACATTTCACATGTAAAATTTAGGATCACGGAAGTGCAACTCTAATTCTTAACACAAATTCTAGTTTTACTTCTCTCCAATCTTCAAACACATATTCACCCTACAGTAAAACACATACTCCATTTTTTTTTAAATTGTTGATTGCAAAATGACTTTGTTTTAATTACGCATTTATGTTTTTTATCATTTAATGCATTTTTTAATTTACAAGCCATTAAAAGTAGTGTAAAAAAACTATGTATATTGTGATTTGAATTTGAATTTAGTGTAATGTCTTGGAGATAAATTATTGTTTTAGCTTTCTCTTGTATTTTAAGTTTGAGTTTAGTGTAATGAGTTGAAGATGATTTAAGACAAATTAATTCAACAAAAATCCTTGAAACTCACCAAATTTGACATCAAGAATTTAACACCAAATATTTATAAACATGTATAGACAATGATTATCTTTACATCATATACAATCACAATTTTATGTATGTATGAAATATTTGATGTCAAATATAGAAGTGAAATATATTATCAAAAATTCTACCCCGTAGTATATTTTTATTACCAAATCAAGAATTACAATACCAGTGTATATTATCAAAAAAACATTGCGAAGTGGAGTCCCAAAATGCAATGACACATTGTTATAATACAAACTTATATTTTGGAGAGAAAAATATGTTGGTTTGCAATGGTGGGTTTTCCTTACTAGAATGTCCCTATTGCTTATCCTATACGGATTAGGCTTACGGAGTTCGTAAGCCGTATTTTATACCGAGTAATTATACAAGGGACAAATTATCAAATTTTCGAAACAAATTAAGGACTACGGAGTACAATTTGACTCGACGTCTGAGCAAGAAAGCGAAAAAGAGTCCTTCAAATCCAACAACTACGACGAGCGAAGCTTGAAGATTCTTTCTTCCTTCATCGTCTTCACAATCTAAACCCTTCTCTATTGAACTGCTTTGGTCGATCGGAGGCATGGCCACTGCTGGAAACAAGAACATAAACGCCAAGCTCGTATGAATCTTCAATCCTATTCACCCGATCATGTTTTTTTTTCTATGGGTTTTTGCCTTTGATTCCTTCATATGTCATTGTTATGCTCATCTCTGATGTGGGTCTTCTTAGTTTATCAAGAAATTCCATGTTCATATGGTCAATCATGTTTCTTCCCTGTATTTTGCAAAATTCGTGTACCCTAAAATCCTAATTCTTATTTGGTATCCAGTTTTCTGGTCCTGCTTTATTGCTTTTCTTTCTTCTATATGAGTGATCAGATTCTATTCATTCCCCTCCTAGTTCAAGTCTCTTTTGCTGTGTTAAAATTTGACTTTTCTGGTGTGCTGAGTTCTATTCTAGGTGTTCCTTGGAGATGTTGGAGCTGGAAAATCTAGCTTGGTATTGCGTTTTGTTAAAGGGCAATTCATCGAATTCCAGGTTTGTTATTAGCCTTTGATGATAGGATTGATAGCCTGCGAATTTGCACCGTAGCTTTGACTTTGATTTGTTGCATTTTTTTGTTTGTTTTGGGTAATTGGATTAGGAATCTACAATAGGGGCGGCATTTTTCTCGCAAACTGTGGCAGTCGATGATGCGACAGTGAAATTTGAAATATGGGACACGGCTGGCCAAGAGAGATACCATAGCTTAGCTCCAATGTACTATAGAGGAGCTGCAGCCGCTGTTGTTGTGTATGATATAACAAACCCAGTAAGTTTTGCAACTTGTTCTATGCATGGAATTTATTAGCTGAAGAATTATTTTTAAGTATGTCTACTTAGGGTCTGTTCTTCCAGACTGAGTAAAATCATTTATAGTTTTGAACTCAACTGAAAAAACTCTTGATCTGAACTTGAAATTACTGAAAATAAGTTAAAAAGAGTAAGCCATTAGTAGTCCGTTCCTTCTGTATTATATCAATATTGAATTTAGCTTGAAACCCTATGTTCTGTTTGTAGGCATCCTTTGAACGAGCTAAAAAATGGGTCCAGGAACTTCAGGCACAAGGTTTCCTTCTGCTATGTTGCTTTTGTAATTTCTTTTGTTTTTTTATTGTTCCGTTTGGCCTGTGTTTGTGCTGATATTATATTTAATCGTTGAGTTTTTTTAGTAAAAAAAATACTCCCTCCGTCCTTGTCTCTTTTTCCACATTGGATTTGGCTCTTGGACCAAGGAAAGAATAATTTGTGGAGGAAGCTACAAAAATACAAAAATCCCCTTTTGCAAAAAGGGAACATAAATCTTACTGCCTAGTTCTCTGTAGTTATATTGATGTTTTATGTGACTAAAGTCTCTGAGATGGACCGTCATGGAGAGCGGCAAACAAAAAACAAGCCGGCAAACAAAAAGCACAGCGGCGAACAACAAGCTATGGCAACACATCTGTATTTTCACAATGATGAAAAGTTTATTTCGAAACAGTCTATATTTGCAATTTACTATCATATTTTACTGAGATCTAATTCATGCCGAGCAAAGATCAAACGAAGTGCGAACACAAGAAGAAGAAAAAAGAGAAAAACTTAGATACACCGAAGATGCCATCTTTGACCAACAAAAGCTTATATCTGTGATTGCCGGAAAATACATCTCTAAAAGGACGAATACACTGGGATGGCTCTAAAAGGAAAAGTAGACGAAAAGACTGGGACGGAGGGACTATTTCTAAAATAGCCTTGCAAACTTATACTCATTAAAAAAGAAGCACAAAAGGCAGATTAGTATTTTTTTTGCTCAATTTTTTTTCTTCCTCTTGGAAACATCCACTCTACTGAGTAGAGGTAAGGTCTGCTCACACTCATCTCTTCTGTAGAGGATATATTGGGCATATTAGTGTTCTCTACCCAATGTATAATGTCTTGTGGCACCTTTTCCACCTTGTAATTCACTACTTTTGCATCGTTTTGTTACTAGGTAATCTGAACATGGTTATGGCACTTGCTGGGAATAAAGCTGACCTGTTAGAAGCAAGAAAGGTGGCAACAGAGGCAAGTGCTGATACTCATTTAGACCATATAAAGTTTGACATGGTTTATTTATTGAGACAACTGAGAATCATTATTCAACAGGAAGCACAACAATATGCCAGGGAAAATGACCTTTTCTTTATTGAGACATCTGCAAGAACTGCAACCAATGTCAATGACATTTTCTATGAGATAGGTAATGCTTTGTTCAAAAGATATCTTGTATAATTTTTTTCATTACCAATATCAATATTTTAAAAAAATGGGAAAACAAAACTACAATTTACAAGTTTCCTTTTTCAAAAATAAATAAATAATGCGATCACTCCCCCACTCCCACCCCTTTCGCTGCAACTATATTATAGGTCTCTCCCACCCTAGACAAACTTAAGTAAAAACTGAATGGTTCCATCCACAACTTTTTTTTACATGCAGCCAAGAGATTGCCTCGTCTGCAACCTGCTGCAAATCCGGCAGGCATGGTTCTCATGGACAGATCGACTGCTGCTCAAAGAAATGCCACATCTGCTGCCTCCTCTTGCTGCACGTAACCCTGCCTGCCTTTACATGCACCGCGGAGAAAGAAAAGAATTGCACGCCGCTCCTGTATTTATTGTTTCACTATATATTATTATTATTATTATTATTATTATTATTATTATTATTATTATGTCAATTTCAATTATTTGTGTATGTGCCATGATCTGTACTCACCCTACACAAGAATTTGCTATCAAGAATCTTTCCTCTGCTTTTCTTGAATTCTGAGTGCCCACATTCATACCTGATCCCGTTCTGTTTTTATTTCTCATCATATTTCGTGGTTCAAGTTCGGGTTTTCTTGCCTAATGGCATTAGCCCTTGCAATTGTATCTTTTTCAGATTAACACTTGGTTTCCCCGTGAAGTGTTTCTGAGTTTTATTCATGACCTTGTCTTTGATTTAGGGGTTTGGTTCAATGAGATGAGAAAGAATAGGCAAATCCATAAAAAGGGAGATTTTAAAAGACGTTTAATTGTATATTGACTTTAGTTGGTCTTATTTGCAATGTTTTAAATTGGAGAGATGCATTTTTTGAAGGCTCTTAGAGTATGTTTTCTTTGTCTGATTTGATTAGATTTTATCTGTTCTGCTCTGATTTTAGTTATATTGTAAGTTGTTTTTATGTGGTTTAATTAGATTTATGTAAGAATAAGTAATAATGTGGATTCCAATATAACCTCTTTTTCAAAAAGAGATTCACTTCTTCACAGCTTTAAAAATTAGGTTAAAAAGTCAATTGAAAAAGAGATATGTTAGTCACAAACACAAGGTTAGAAAAATGCACAACTTTACTATTTGTGCAACTCACTACCGGAACAAAATGATTTTAAATAATTAAAAAATAGAAATTTAAATACATAAATAATAAGTTTGAGCATTTTGTGATTATAACAATATTTACGACATTTTCGTTTCATTCTACGTGTGCATACCAGACCATCCGGATTGATGAAATTAGGCCTTGGACAACTCTAGTACAAGAGATCACATTATTTAAATAAATTGGATTGATAAAAACTTAGTCACAAATTTGTTATCCTTGGCGCGATGGAGGGATTTAGTTTGACACCAGCTTCAACATTCAACTTTAGCTTTCTAAAAGAATGCTTAATAATAATGTTTAAATTTACTATTTTTAAATGCATCGATATAATTAAAAAATTATTTAAAGTACTAATTGAAAAATAAGTGGAGAGTAAAGCCTTGAGAGAGTTATTTCTTTATTTATTACGGTTGCGTGCTGGCTTGCTGTATGCTAGGAGCCCTTTATCTGAAAATATTTTTCATAGTTTGTAATAGGTTGATAATGTATGAACAAATACTAACTTTTAATAGAGTTATTAGTATTCATAAAAATAAATTTGGGGTTTCAAATAATGTTTTTTTGAGACTTGGAAGCTTTAAAATTTTTGTTAGTATTATTACATCTATTTCAATGTATTATCAGTTAAATTTACAATTAAAAGAAACCTTTTAACAATTGTTATTATAATATGACAACTCTAATTGGAGCACAACGGTATTTCATTTGTAAAGCCGATGATTCTTACTTCTCCTAAACTCCCCAACCAACCCTTCGCCTCATTTAAATTTACTCTTAAAAAATTTTTAAATAGCGACCCCTTCTTTTGACAGTTAATATTGTCATAATATGACAATAACTCTAATTAGAGCATCCACGGTGTGCTATTCATAAAACGGATATTTCTTATTTTTCCTAAATTCTCCATCCAACCCCGGCCTCTTGGATGGCCAATTTGGCAACTAATGACCTTAGCTAACATAAGCTCCCAAATAAGCAACCCAACGAGGAGGAGGAGGGGGTTGGATGGGGGTTTAAGGTATCAATCTTAAAGCAATTCTAATGAAGAAAGCAAATGAGGAGGCATAACTCATAACTTCAAACTTTACTTTCTCTTTTCTTTTTTTACACTCTAAATGTGAAGGCAGATGAAGAGGTAAAATATCTTCTTTCAATATAGAGAGACATCAATATCTTTTCAAAATTGAAAAGGTAAAAGAAATAAAGAGGGAGAAACAATATAACTTCTAAATTTGCCTTTCTTTTGCCTATATTTTACATTTCAATGATAAAAGTAAATAGAAATGCAAGAATTTTTCTTATTTGAAAAGATCAATACCATTTTAAATTTGTTATTTTATGTTTACCTTTCACTCATTAAAGTTGACCACTCATTAAGAAAGACAAAAACCTTTTTTTGAGGAGGTAATTCAGGTAAACGAAGAAAATACCTCCTCACTTTGACTTTCTCAATTGGAGTTGCTCTAAGGAAACAAATGATACTCCATCCGTCCTATAATGATCTTCTCGGTTCGCAAAACGAAAAAAAATCCCAAGTTTTTTCAATCTATTTTATTTAAATATTGGTATAGAAATAAAAAATAAAACATACATATTTAAAAACTACACCAAAAGTTCAACAAAACAAGTGGTGATAAGAATATTTTATTTTATCATATAGGCCATGAAAAAACACAAATAAATATAAATTCCTGTAATTTTGGAATAGTGCTCTGGGAAAATCATTATAGGACGGAGGGAGTATTATAGTATGACATTATGATTTATTGTCATAAAAAGTAAAACCAAGTAAGATAACGTAGCTTTTAAAATTATCCGAAACTCCATTTCTAATTCTCGAGTTTTTGTGGCGATGCTGCTCTATGCAAAAAATGTGATGTCTAAGAACATCCACAAACCACATTTCCAGCCATTTCCTCGAACAGGGAAATGTAAAAGACCCATCCGGCATTTCGTCAAACACTTTGCGCTCAACATATCTCCTCGTCTAAGATGAAATCGCGCCCAATCTCAACACAGCCCAACCTCAGTTTGCGGCTTTGATTTCGGAAATGAATTCCCAGACTCTTCTGGCTTTTGCGCCGCTGAGAATCGGATGCTCCGGGAGAAGCTCCGAACCCGACCCGGCCCACAGAGTCTCCGTCACCAAATCAACGAGTAAGAAAATTTCAATATCCACGAGAAGAGATGCGCAATCTGCACTCTTTGATTACTTGCACTGCACCAGAGGGCTTAGTTTCGTCGATTCCGAGCAAATCAGCAAAAACTCGCCCCGGTTTCTAGAGCACTTGCTTTCAAAGGTGAAACATGAAGGGGATGTGGTGAGGGCTTTAACCCGTTTCTTCAGGTACTATCCCTTTAATGAATTTGAGCCTTTTCTTGAGAGTTTGGGTTTAAGCCGAAAGGATCTTGCTTCTGCACTTCCCAGAAACTTGATGTTCTTGAGTGATGATGCCAACTTGCTTGACAACTATCATGTTCTGTGTAACTATGGGATCCCCAATTCTAAGATTGGGAAAATGTACAAGGAAGCTTCTGAGATATTCAGGTATGGAGATGGAGTGTTGAACATGAAGTTAAGGAATTTTGAGAAGTTGGGCTTATTTCAATCCAGAGTCATAGACCTAGTGATTCGATATCCGTATCTTTTGCTCCCCGGGATGGACAACGATTTCGTTGCAGTTCTTGAGAAATTGAGAGAGTTAGGGTTTGGAAGTGACTGGATTGATACTCACATCTCTAGCAAACATTCCTGCAACTGGAGTAGAGTACTTGACACAATGTGTTTTCTTAGCGAAATTAGTGATGGCAATGAACAGATGATGGCTCTGATTGAGGCAAATCCGGGCTTGGTATTCGAAGGGAAGCGTGCTTACTTGATGGTTACCCAATTAGTGAAATTGGGTCTTAGTAGATACGCAATTTATGCCGTGTTCAAAGATTGCCCAAAGATCCTGTCTTTCAAGCAGGCCAATCGCATATGGATAGCCATACAGTTTCTGCTCAAGATTGGAATGGATAGAAAGAGCATTGCAACATTTGTATCCACTCACATACAACTCATAGCTTCTTATTCTCTGAAAAAACCAAAGTTTGTCTCCAAGAATCTGTCTTCGAGCATACTGGAAGACCCTATGAACCTTTTCAGATTGGCGTTAGAGGAGGAAGCCGAATTCTCAACACAGCAAAATAAACTTGTTAACTATGTGAAGAAAAAAGAATTCTTCTTTAGCTTAGGCTATGCAGAGAATTCTGATGAGATGAAAAGGCTCTTCACAGTGGTGGAGGCTAGAGGAGACCAGTTACAGGACCGGTTTAATTGCCTGGTGCAAGCTGGTTTGGACCGCAATGATGTAATAAAAATGTTCAGAAGGGCTCCAAGAATACTGAACAACTCAAAGGAAGACATTGAGAAGAAGATTGAGATTCTGAGAAATCACTCGGGTTATCCGGTGAAGACACTTGTGAGTTTTCCCACATATCTCACCTATAGTAATCACAGAATAAGTTGTAGATTTTCAATGTACGATTGGGCAAAGGGAAAGGGATCGGTGAATCCCACGTTATCGTTAAGCACCGTAATTGCTGGTGCAGACGCGCGCTTTGTAAAATATGTTGTTAATGGACATCCAGATGGTCCTGCCAAGTGGGAGAGTTTGAAAAAATCTATTCTTTCAAGCTAATAATAAGAAAGACCATTCTTTTGAATTTTTGCTCTTGCAGCTTCAGCTTTGGTTTGCAGTGTCTGTTTTTGAGTTAATTTGATGTTGCCTGCTTTTCAAAAATTAAAACAAAAGTGAAAGTGTGTGAGGGAGGGTGAAGGAAAGTGTTTTTTCTTGTGAAATTTGCACTAAATAGTACTAAAATATGTCATTTCGCAATGTATTACTTAAACTTTTTTATTTCCTAAATAATACTCCCTCCGTCCAAAAAAGAACTTCCCACTTTCTTTTTTCATCCGTCCACAAAAAAACTTCCCATTTCTATTTTAGGAAAGTTTTTGAGAATGAAATGTCATTTCTACCCTTAATTCTCTTCTTCCTCTCCCTTTCTTCTTTCTTTCTTTTTCTTCTTTCTTCTATCATTTTTTTTCTTCTTCCGTTTTTTCTTTCTTTCTTTTTCTTCTTTTTCTCCTTTTTTCTTTCTTATTCCTTCTTCTTCTTTCTTCTTCCTCATCTCCTTCTTTATTTTTTCTCCTTCTTCGTCTTTTTCTTTTTCTTCTTCCTTCTTCCCTCTTCTTCCTCTTCTCTTTCTT